TGTACCCTCATTTACTGTCCCCAAAACAGATAGTCAAACACAACAAAAGGAAAAGGAAACAAAAACAGCAACAAAGAGCCTTCTTGTTTCCGTTTCCTAGAGTTAAGTTCCATATTATTTTAAATGATCAGATGCACCTAGGCATTGTGCCTTTGTGATCCTCTCCTAAGAATATCATCCTTTGGCCTCACTCTGTGTGAATGCCTAGAGACCTGTATAATTAATCATGTTCCAGTGTATTTTTTCTTTTTCATTTTTTTTTACCATCCAGTGTATTTACTTGTAGATTTATAGGCACACTCTAGTTACTACAAATAAGGGAAACCATGCAAACTATGTATCTTTGGGTCTGGCTTACTTCACTTAATTTTTTTCTAAGTCTTTCGATTTCCTTATACATGGTAGAATGCCATTCTTAACAGGACTGGGTGAAGCTTGAGAACTGTCAACTGCCTTTCATTTTTGCTATTTGATAGAAGAAAACCAGTAGAAACAATTATGTGAGTTACACAGGCATGTACAAGGAGGTGCAGAGACAATCTTGCAGGGAATGCATTCTCCCAGCATCTACCGAAGACAGCATTATGCTGTTCCCTATCATAGACAGGCAGCCACTTTCCCGTCCTTCTATTTTGTGAGATATCCCAGTATCCTTATAATAAGATTTTTCTTTCTTCTCAGGCTGGTTTGAAATGGCTTTCTTTGCAGATCTAAGAATCCCAGCTGGTTTGAAGAATTACTAAGGCAGAGAGAAGATGAAGGACATTTCGTGGTCTGAATGAGCAAAAGCACAGAACTATCAATAAAAAGTGTGACAAGTGTAGATGAATACAAATAGTTTAGTTTTGTTGAAACAACATGAGAGAGAAAAAGAGATGGAGTGAGAGATCTGTCATTTTAAGTAGTTTAACCAGAAGGCATTGAAGAGCCGTAGAACGTTTTACACAGCAGGTACATATGCATATATGTGGTTTAGATCTATCACATCACTGGCAGGAGTTTCTTCAGCAATTCTTTCTTGTTTCTCACTTGTGCCCTCACCCAGAACCCTGGGGAAGGAGATGGAATGTGAAAAATGTGTTCTGTTTCTGCTCATGAGCAAATCTTAGCATCAGGCTTTTAGTACTTTCATTTTAATTTCTATTTAATAATCAACCCTCTGTTCTGAATGTAGGTTTCATATCTAGTTCAATGCCTATTTGAGTAAATGGAATATGTAGTTATTTAACAAAAATTTGCTATGTGAATAATGAGCAAATAAGTGAATAAATAGTTATGAAAGAGAGGAGATGCATATTGGATGCATATTTTAGAAGTGAAAGTGTTCTGCCACATACAAGAAAAAAATATATAAGAGACTTCATGCTACATAATTCTAGTTATTTGAAGTCCTGAAGTCTCAAGTGTAGGAATAGGAAGTATATCCAGGGTTGTCAGGGATAAAGGATATTGTTTACAAAGGAGAATGAGGACATTGGAGAGGATAGAAATGTTGTACATTATCATTGTGATGATTTTCAAATAACTCCATTAATTTTTCAAAACTCATCAATCCTACACTTAAAAATTGGTAACTTATTGTGCATGCTATTTTACAAAATGGCAGTTTGTTAATGGGCAGAAGGCTAACCCTATTCCCAAGAGTAATTCCCACTGATACCTACCTCAGCAGAGGAGGAGAGGACAGAACTTGGAGTAATGTTACAGGAGACATTTTATACTGTTCAGTGCAGTTTTATTTTCTAAGGCGTAAGACTATGCTTTGTGATTTGAATGACTTACATGACTACCTTTTACCTACATTGAGTAAAGCACAAGATCTGTAAAGTTTTCTTTTCATTGATGAAGAAAGATCTTGTAATAGTTTTAAAGAGCTGCTGGGAGAAAAAAGCAAATTTGGATCCCATAAGTGATGATTGAGTAGCGAATGTACTGGTTTACATTGGCAAGGGAGTATTTGAGAAAGGCAGCCAGTCTACAATAAACAGGCAAGGAAACAGAGAGTGAAAAGAAGGGAGTAAAATGAATAGTTATTAAAATCTGACTCTTAGGAACAGTCTTCACAAATGAGCTGAATCTTATTATTTTTGGAGCTTCAAGAGCAAGGAAATGTTTCCTATCATTTTCCCTGGAGAGTATTTTTTTGTTATCTTTTCGTTTTTGAAATGAGTGTTGAACCCAGGGCCTCATGCATACCAAGTATGTACTCTACCACTGAACTACCTGCCACCAAGACCCTTCCAGGTTTTTATCTTCGTTGTATAATTCACACATGTAGTAACAGAATATTCCAGTTTTCATTCAATAAATATTGTTAAATAGCAGCGTATGCTAAGCATTTGGGGCTGACCTTGAATAAACAAACCATAGCTTCTGCCCTTCTAAGATTTTCAGTTTAGCAGGAAAGAGAAGTAATTAAGTCATTTTGCTTTTAATTATCCCTTGAAGCTAGCACATTGCCTATTAAGTGCTTAGTAAATATTTGTTGAATAAATAGCCACATTATATAGTTTATTTATATACATGTGTGTGTGTGTATATGGATGTCCAAATTACTTTAGGTTGCTGATATTTATTTTATGTGATATTTAGGGATTAATTGCATTCTCAATGAAAATGTACATGACAAATTTTTATCTTGCCTCTATCCCCTTCTTAATGATTTATAAAAGTCTAAAGATATAGAGAGAATTATGTTTATGCAACATTTCCATGGGATTGGAATACAATTTTGTGTATGCATCCTTTTGTGCCTGTATTTGGGCTTGAACTCCAGATCTCCCTCCTTCTGCACCCAGCCAATGCTTTAACACATGATCCAGGCTTCCACTTCTGGATTTTTACAGGCATTGTGAAGCTCAAAATCTTTCTGCCTGGGCTAGCATTAGCCTCATGTTGATTCTTAAATCCCAGCCTACTGAGAAGCTACCATTAATAGGCATGAGCCACTCTCCTTGTGCTCAATCAGAGAATCAATCTTCCTGCACACTCATCAAGATGACCTAGACCATGAGGCTTGTGGGAAAAATGAGAGCATAAGAAGTCTAGTTGGGAAGAAGAAAAGAGGAAGATGGTTGGAACCAATAAGATGAAGATGACAATGTATACCACAAGGAAACTGTTACCTCTGGCTTTGAAGAACATTAGAAAATCTATGAAAATATACAAGTGATTGGTATAAGCTAATAAAGCTTCTGGACATGAAGTGGCATAGGAGCAAGCTGGTTTGAACAGATCCAGAAATGGGAGCAGGAAGGGGAGAAAGTATGATGAAGACATCACAGAGGTAGTCCTGAGAGTATATGGGCTGAGAGAAGAATTGCCCACCCCCTATTATTGCATAGGAATTACAGATAAAAATAATTAAATTATTTGTCATAAGATAGATATTACTAGATACAAGAAAAATAAAATTAAAGCCAGAGCTATCCTCTTACTAACGGATGCTGCTGTGGCTGGGTAGAGTCTGATAGAGTCTTCAGGAGGTATTCTATTGTTTCAAGCTTTCCAGGTAACACAAGATAAGGCTTTGACTTGTATAAGGCAGAAAGTTGGAAATGAGCTTTGTATAGAAAAGCAGGGCCTTATAATTGCTTCTAAATGACAAGATACTTAGAAAAGAAAATATTAAAACAAAATATTCTTTGAGAAATCTGAGCTCCAAGCCTTTTCCATATTCAATTGTGAAGCCTCAGTTGATATTCTTCGTGGGAATTTAGTATGGACACTAGTGTTTTACACCCATGAAATTCTATGGCAGTTGGTAGAAATGCAACATAGTATAGTTATAGTTGGAATAGTGTAGGACAATAAGGGACTCCCAAGCAAAGTTTGTTATTAAAATGTACAAATCGACTTAAAGAGAAACTTCTCTGAAGAAGAAAGAAGGATGGCCAATAGACACATGAAGAAATGTTCAACATCCCTAGCCATAAAAGAAATGCAAATCAAAACAACATTGAGATACCACCTCACCCCAGTTAGAATGGCTATAAGCAAGAACTCTAACAACAACAGATGCTGAAGGGATGTGGACAGAAGGGAACCTTACTTCATTGTTGGTGGGAGTGTAAACTTGTTCAACCACTTTGGAAAGCAGTATGGAGGTTCCTCAAAAGACTTCACATAGAGCTCCCCTATGACCCAGCAATCCCACTTTTGGGCATTTACCCAAATGTTTATAAACAAGACCACACTAAAGCTACCAGCACAACTATGTTTATTGCAGCATTATTTACCATAGCTAAGATATGGAACCAACCCAGATGCCCCTCAGTAGATGAATGGATCAAGAAAATGTGGTATATATACACAATGGAATTCTATGCCTCCATCAGAAAGAATGACATTGCCCCATTTGTTAGGAAATGGAAAGGCTTGGAAAAAATTATATTAAGTGAAGTAAGCCAAGCCCAAAGAAACATAGGTCCCATGGTTTCCCTTATTTGCAATATCTAGTAAATGTATGAGTCAAGCAGAAAAGGTCAGATAATGTGATGTTAGGAAAATGAACCCTAAGATATGTATTTTAATGTTTTTTTTCTTTCATGCATTTGTTCTAACTCATTTATAAGATTATTTCTTTGTAGCTTTGTATGTCCCTCCCCCACAGTATAACCCCTGCTTTCACTATATTTGATGTCGGTATAATTTGTGGAGGAGATGGGGAAAAACAAGTCGTTTAAGGATACAGGTGGACCCGTTGCAACTATGAGAAGTACAAGTTGTCATGTCGAAAACGAACTTTATAACTTTGGGGGGGATGGGGGGGTGGCTGGGAAGGGATGTGAAGGGTAAACAAAGGAAGAGGCTGCAATGCTTGGTAAGAAATGTATGCATTATCCTGCCCATGTAATTGTAACCCCTCTGTACAGTATGTTCACAAATAAAATTAAATTAAAAAAATAAAATAAAATGTACAAATCATAGGAGATACAATTTACCACAACAGAACATAATTAGACATGGTACAGAGTAATATAAGAACTTCAAGAATGGTAGGTTTCGTCGTTTCTGGACGTGGTTCCTCGTCGGAGTCCAAGATGCCTCATGGAAGCCGGAGCCGCACCTCCCGCGTGGCCCCACCGGCCAGGTGAGACCCTCCCGGGGTTTGGAGCCGGGCCCGGGTTCTCGAGGTCTGTTGACCTTGTGACGCAGAGCCATGCCCCTCAGATGAGAGCTGCACCCAGGCCAGCTCCTGCAGCCCAGCCTCCAATGGCAGCCCCAGCATCTGCTGTGGCCTCTCCTGCAGCTACTCCCCGGCAGCCTGGGCTGATGGCCCAGATGGCGTCCTCAGCCGCTGGTGTAGCTGTGGGCTCTGCCGTTGGGCACACACTGGGCCATGCCATCACTGGAGGCTTCGGTGGAGCTGGTAATGCTGAGCCTGCCAGGCCGGACATCACTTATCAGGAGCCCCAGGGAACTCAGATGGCGCAGCAGCAGCAGCTAAGTGGCCCATGCTCCTATGAAATAAAGCAGTTTTTGGAGTGTGCCCAGAACGAGGGTGATTTTAAGCTCTGTGAGGGCTTCAATGAGGTGCTGAAGCAGTGCAGAATTGCAAATGGACTAGTTTAACCGTGAAGTTCAAGTTGAAGAAATGGAAAATCATCTCTGATGACCAAGTTAAAATTTAACATGGAAATGTAATTGGTAGTGACACCATAGAGTGTAAAACTATAAGTTAACTTCTTGTTGTTAATTGCATAGTTGCCTCAAGAGTGGCCATGGCAGAGGGTATTGTAACTCTTAATACAGGTTCACTGAGAAGGTATAGAGTTGGGGCTCACAGGTGTTTGTGTGGCCTTCATTGTTCTGATGTTATTTTGAGTTAATTATAATAAACTGATTTCTTCTAAAAAAAAAAAAGAACTTCAAGAACTTGAGGAATTAGAACAATGCATCTTGTCCAATGTCACCCCTTTTAACTATCTCATCAGTCCCTCCCCTACTCACCCATTCTCTTATTCTTCTCAATTTTGTGTAGGCTATACCTTGAATTCTTGACTGAATTCTCTCTCTGTTCTCTTTATGCATCCTTTACCCCTTTCTTTTTGACCTCACCCAACCCCACTCAAGTACTTGCTTCCTGGTGTTTATTTTGTTAACATTGATTTTGCCTTCATAAGAAATTATACTATCTGAATTTTCCTTTGAATCTACCATATTTAAATTAATATCATATTTAAGTTAATACTTGCATGCCATCCAATGTATTTATTTATAAATTATAAGCTAAACAGGCCCAGACAAAGGATTCATGTTTTCCCTTATATAAGGAAAAAATTAAGTCAGGCCCAGACAAAGGATTCATGTTTTCCCTTATATAAGGGAAAACATGAATCCTTTGTCTGGGCCTGACTTAATTTTTTCCAGGTCTTTCCATTTCTTTATGAATTGTACAATATCATGAGTAAAATTCCATTGTATATATGCCATGTTTTCTTGATCCAATTAGGGACATTGCGGCTGGCTCTGGTGAATAGTACTATAATGAACATGGTTGTGCTGGTAGCTTTACTGTGTCTTTGTAATCTTTTAGATAAATCCCTAGGAGTGGAATTGCTAGATCAAAAGGTATTGATATATTTTTAGGAAACTCCATAGTACTTTCTAGAATGGTTGAACAAGTTTACATTCCCATCAGCAGTGTACTAGGGTTCCCTTTTGGCTGTATCCCCTCCACCATCTGCTATTGTATGTTTTCCTGATAATGACCATTCTAACCAGAGTGAAGTGGAATCTCAATGTTGTTTTGATTTGCATTTCCTTTATGGAAAGAGATATTGAGCATATATCCATGTGTCTGTTGGCCATTTTTACTTCTTCAGAGCAGTCTTTCTTTAGCTCATTAGCTCATTTATTAGTGTGTTGATTATTTTTTTTCACCTATTCTTGAGAATGTAGTAGAAGCTTAGGGAAAAAAAAACCCTGTTCTTTACATCCCCTTAAGCTTAGCTGTAGAATTCTTGCTATAGTTCATTCCCGATTTTCCAGGTTATAACCCAGAGAAATAAAACTAGAAATAATGATCACAAATCATATTTATTGCACTAAGAAACTCAAACAATATGTTAATGAGTGAAAGTCACTGATATTAGTAATAGTCTAGTGACCACCAGTGTGTTTGCTGCTTTGGCCAAAGTTTAGCTGGCTGAGAAAGGATGGGAAAAATACAGATGAGGATTCTTTTTTATTTTAATTAGCAATGCCATGACATTGATTTTCTATAGTAGCTGTTTTTAGTTTAAAATATGGTACAGTCAGGTAGAAGATTTTTTCTTTCACTTCTACCTTGGCTGAAGTTTCTGTGACATCAGTAGTAAAGATTCAACAGGATGTGAAACATACAACTTTTTCTCAGTGCATTGTTTAATTGTAGATTCTGAACTACCTATTACTCAGTTCTTGCTCCCTAGTCTCCTTTGACAATACATTATATGTTTATCCCATTCTTTGTGATGATTTATTCTAATCTGACTAGATTGATTAGAAATTTAAATTATGGTTGCTGATACACTGAAGTATCTGCATGATCTTAGCAAAGTGATAGTTTAGGAATAATTCTAATTAACAGAGAACCAGAAGGTCTTTTTGTCTGTTGAAAGCCATTTGGGAAGTGTGAATCTATATATTTCAAAAATATTCTAATTTGTGAATGGTTTATTAGAAATATATCCATAGGTCAAAGAATGATGCTGAACATGATTTTTGTCTGTATCATCTCCAATCCTAACACACTAACAATGAGATGGTTTTCTACTTTTTTTTTGCTTTCATTTCCTCTCTTCTCCCCAAATCCTTGATAAGCTCCTCTCAATTTTGCTGCTTTATGGAAAATTATTCCAGAACCATCTGCTGATGACTATGGTAAATTTTAATGCTCACAAATGGATCACCTATAAGGCAAATGCAGTTTTCTTTCACATCATTAGTTAGACTTGGAGCACTAATGTAGTTTTATTTTTATGGAGAAAATCCTTCATCACAGGTAAGAATGGAGAGTGATGGGAAAAAAATAGATAAGCTGCTATGCTTCAGAATTATTAATACAGCAAGATGGCATTGCTAATGGGAGATTTTAGGAAGTATCTTTTCTACGAAACTAATATGAGTTACTCTAATTGAATTTAGAAGTTCAACTTATTCATTCAATAAATGTTTTTGAATCATGTCCTTTGTCTATGAGGAGCTGCTTTGGGAAAAAAATAGGTATGTATTTGGTAAAACAACAAATAGGGCTCCTGCTCTGGTTAATATGCTGTCTGATTGGAAGCATAGACAGCAGCCTTGTTAAAAACAATAAATAAAATGCAGTGACAAGTACAATGAAAAAAAAAGGTGAAGGGTATGGTTATAGGGGATATGTGTTGTGTGGGTGTGTGTATGTACTAATTATATATAAAAATAGAAGTCATTAGCATGTAGGTGGTATTTAGAGCCAGAGAAATCAGTAAGATTAACAAGAGAAAGTGGCTAGAGACAAACAATTCTGGACTAAACTCTGGGAAGCTCATTTTTAAAACTTTAAATGAAGCTAAATCACTAGTGTGATTTATTTTCCATTTTACCAAAATTAATCAGAGAAACTTCACTTAAAGTGTAGTACCTCTTACCTATGCTAGCCTTCAATCTCTTCATCCTTCATTCCTTCTTTTTCTCCCTGTCTTACTAGTTCTTCCTCTTCTTTTTTGTCTACTACATGCCTGATTGCTAGCTCATTTACCCTTCAGATCCTCTCATGGTTACCACATGGGACGTCTTCTTTGACTCAACCAAATTACCATAGGGGAGCCTAGGAATAAGCATCATATAGAAGGAGATAAGCCAGGAAAAAGACAATGTCAGCAGTGTAGTCAAATGATTCCCTTCATTCTGAGTAGTCCTTGCAGCAATCCATACAATTATCAAGAATCTGTGCCCCCCCTTTTTTAGTTCTCCAGCAACTCCAAGTTTTTCCTCAGATATTAGGAAAGGAAATCCAGTTGGGAAATTGTAATATCCAACCTGCCTTAGAAGTTTCTCTTCTAAATGAGACCTAATATTTCACATTCAGTCTCCAGCATTGCTGCTGGTGTTCCTAAAAGGGAGATGTTTAGGTACAAGAATGATCACTTTCAGAGAGGACCGAAGAGGCATAACTTCTAATCTAGTATATGAATCAGGGTTTTATTTCTACCCAAAACACTGTTGCCTGGTAACAGATCTCTTCCACTTTTATCAGGTTTCCAGGGGAACAGTGCTAAAATGTAAATCCAAGGTCAAGTTGGAGAAAGGAGAAAAGGTACTATTAACCCTTTATTCATAGGCTATTTGAAATAGTTCTGTAGGCAGAGGGAACAACTAGAATATAAATATTCACGATATCAAACCCCAGGACCACTTAAAAACAACATGCAAGACAGGGTTGTGTTTGGTTTAAGTAAGGGAACACCAGGATGTCAAAGCATCTGGAAAAGAGTGAGAAGCGAGTAGTAGGAATTGTTCAGAGATAAGCAGTGAGGATGCAGGTGATGCAATATTTATTAGGACCTTTTAGGAACCTAGCTATTTCTGTGAATGTAATTGGGAGGCACTGGAGAGTTTTAAAGGGGAATAATGTTTGCCTTGTATTTTGAAAGGATCACTCTGGCTGTTAACTTGAGAATCAATTACCCAAAAGTGTGAAAGCATGGTAACTTGTTAGGATGCTAGTGCAGAAATTCAGAATAGACAATAGCTTGGATGCCTACAGTATCTGTTGAACTGACGGAGACTGTCTAACAGTTGATAGAGTATATTATTTTTTATGGTCCAAATGCTTGATATATTATAGTATTCTTTTATATAGTACAAGTACTTTATTTAAATGTTTTATTATCTTTAAGTGGTTTACAAAGGGGTAAAAATAGGGTATCAATTCTGTATATTATAGGTAATGCATGCATCTTAACTTTGATTATCTGATTCCTCTCTATCAAATAGAAAGGTTAAGTGAATTCAAATATATGTATGAAGGAAAATAGTATATGAAGAACTACAGCAAAGTGCTCTACAAAATTGAGAATATAGCCAGTAAATGTTCTGTGTTTGAGACTAAAGCAAGAACAACGAATCTGTATTGACCAAACTGAAATGCAGACTCCTGAAACTGCAGTATGAATTTGAAATGGAAAAGGCAGTAGGACGCCAATGTTGGACTTTTTAAATGGGTGGAGAATTCATTATGTTTCTGTGATGAAAATTATGTAAAGCCCCAGGCATTTTCCTTTCTTTCTCATCTTTGGTTCTATGTTCTACAATTTAGAAGTCATCAAGACTATTACCTGATTGTATCTATGAATGTTATTATACATCTTCTTCCTGAGCGATAAAATAGTTCCTCTTTTTAATGCCTAAAAGTAAAAGCAAATGAAAATGTATAGTTTTATTTTTCAAATAGTTTATATATATATGTGAAATATAAACTGTGATAAGTTGGTTGAAAAATGTAATGTTATAAGCAATTTGATGTTACATGCATTTTGCCATAATAAAAAGCCAGTAAAACTTTTAGAGAGATCATCCAAGCAGGTTGCAGATACACTGGTCAATTCCTTCTGCTTTCACGTAAGCAGTGCTCTCCTTCTGGAATGCCTCTTTTATGCGACTGCCAGGGGACTCCATTCTCATGATTTATCTTCTTGAAAGATTTGGCTTTGGGTTATCTTTGCTGGATCATCCTTATCTCCTTAACTTCTAAATTTGGGGCTCCCTAGTTCAGTCTCGGTGTGTGGGAATGTGTTTCTGGATGAGATTATCAGTTTAATCAACAAATGGAGTAAAGCAGATTACTTCTCAACATGGATAAGACTCAATCAGTTGGAAGTCCAAATAC